ACTGATCATTTCTTTGTCAGTGGGCAAACGTACAAAATCAGCAGGGGATCAAATAATTTTTTTCCCTCACTGTATGTTTTAATTATAAATATTTTAAAAGCTTTCTATAGTTTATAATCTAAAAATGGCTTATTTGAAATGCCAGATTGCATATTTCTTATCAGACTTGAGACTGTACAGGGTATATGCAGTCCTGTGTTAAAGATCTAGAGTGTTGAGTGTTTCTCAACCTTGGCAACTTTAAGATGTGTGGACTTCAACTCCCAGAATTCCCCAGCCAGCTTGCTTGGTTCAAGAATGTTTGCTTTTAGTGATAAATTAAGCCTACATTAGGTATCTCTGTACATTTTTATAGGAAGGAAACACTGCCTTGCATCTAGCAGCTAAACATGGCCACAGTGATGTGGTAGAGATTCTTCTTCAGCAGTGGGAAGATATAAATGAATTCAATCAGGTAAAAATACAAGTAATTACTGAAAAATGCATAAAGCATCAAAATTAAGAAAGGCATATTTATTTTTGAAAATAAAGATGTAAGAAGGCAACTCATGTCTGGAACCCACAGATTGCCAGAGTTCTTGAAGTCTCTAAATTACGAAACTATAATGGCCAATAATTGCCTCCTCTTCCCTTCCCTCCATCTCTCCCCTCCCTCCTTTAAAATGTATCAGGCCTGTCCTGGAGAAGCTTTGCTTGTGCTCCATTTTGGTGAAGGGATCAGAATGGAGGGCAGGAGTTGCTGTTTTCCTCTTCCTGCTCCAGCCTTGTGAAATAGCCTCCCCATAGAATTACGGCTTCCTTCGTTCCTTTTATCGTGTTTTAGAAGATCCTTCAGACAGAACTCCTCCAAAGGATGCATGGTGGATAGTTGTTGTCGCCATGTTTACTTTACTTTACAAATTGATTTCATTTTTTTTAATGTTACTTCATTTTTGTATCTGGTTTTGTAATGATCTTATTTTATGTATTTTTCATTATTATTATTATTATTATTATTATTATTATTATTATTATTATTATTTTACTTATTTTTGTAATTTTGATCAGTAATTTGTTGTTTCTAATTATATATAATTAGAAATAACAACTTACTGATCAAAATTACAAATACATACTCACACACATTTATAGGCCTCTTGATTCCCAATGACTCTGGGCAGCTCATAATTAAAAGTAAAAACAAAACCTAAAAAAACAAAGCATAAAAAAATGGCCTAGAAACAACATACAGCGGAAGAAAACCCAGACAGCCAGGTCTTTAATACATCATCTGGGTGGGAGAAATATCATTCCAGAGGGCAGGCACCATGACAGAGAAGGCCTGCTTCCTGGGTCCCACAAGATGACACTGCTTAATCAGTGGGACCCAGAGCATGCCCACTCTGCCCGATTGTACCACCTATTTCTACCGGGCCTTCAAATAACCAGGCCCTATACCATGAAGGCATTAGTGGTGATAACCAGCAGCTTGAATTGCGCCAAGTCAATTGATAACCAGTGCTGATTGTAGAACAGTGGGGTAACACAGGCATAACAAGGCATGCCCAACACTGCCCACACCACTGCATTCTGGACCACCTGTATCTTCTGAGTGGTCTTCAAGGACAGCCCCACGTAGAGCGCATTACTGTGATCCATGTAATTATGTCTGCTGTGGATGTTTTGTTTAGAGATGTTTTATTGTTGACCGTTTGGTAAATTGTCATGAGCCTATATTGTTTTTGTGGCATACAAGTAAAATCAATCAATCATTGTGTATGATCAGTCCTAGGATTACCATTATTTATGAGATTTTTCTTGTTTGCCAATTATTAAACATGAGCCACCTTTGAAAATAAATGAACTAACTGCTGAAATACAAGCATACATATTTTGCAGTCCCACATCAAAAGTTTCAGTGGAAAAATTTCCTTCATTAATTCTTCCATTTTACAGAAATTATCTGAAAAATATTCTTACCTCCTATCAGTCGGTATTGGGTAGCTGTATACAGGCAGCTGTATCTGATATCAATGACATATTTCCTTTTTGCATTGTGCTTCAGAATGGTGAAACACCATTTTATATGGCTGTTGAAGGAGGCCATGAAAAATGTGCTGACCTCTTACTGGAAGCAGGAAGTGACATCAATATTTCAAACAAAGTATGTAAATATACCTGGTGTTCTTTGTTCATTTACTGAGATAATATTTTCTTTAATTTTTCCTTGTTGTGCATTAAAATACCAAACTGAGACCCAGATAAATTGCTGTTTTTGTGGAAGTTGTATTAGATGTAGTAGGGCTGCCAGATCTGGGCTGCAAAAATCTAGATGATCACTAGATTTCAAGTTTTCTGTATCACTTTGGTGCCAACTGGTATTCACCTAGATTTTTACAGTCCCAGTTAGTTCATCTTTATCTCACTTTTGTGTCTCCTTTATTACTTGCTTTTGTAATTAAGAAGGATCTTGATGCAGACATTAACACAGAAGTTCAAGGAAATTGAAAGAAACAGTAGTAAAATTACTGTTAATAGTGTCCCTTAGCTAAAGCATCCCACTAATTCAAATTAATGACATGGAACAGCAGCAATAATGGTTCTTTTTTGAACTTCGTTTTCTGCTTTCTATGTTATCCAGCAATAATCCAATGCATATTTTCTGAGAAGTAATTTTGTTTACTATGTAGAGAATATACACATGTAACTTTAGTCTGATAGGTTCAGCTAAGGTGGCATGATTTTGATTTGGTAAACTGGAATTTGTTTGTCTCCTTTCTTAACCATTTTCCCCATCGTTTCACACACTGACATTCACAGAAGACATTGTGTCTTAAATCATAGTTCCTCTGTTTGAATGACATTAGAAATTATAGTGCAAGGAACCAGGGTTTCTTCATCAGAACTAAATACATAAGGAGAGGAGGTGAAAGGCAGCATTAAAACATTCATGTATTTGGTGCAGACTTTGATGAAACATGAAATAACTGTGGCAGAAGATAAGGAATTATTATCCTAATGCATTTTCTGGAGATCGGCCTAATTAGTTTTTCTTAATCAAACCATTTTTGATATTAGCACAACTGTACATATCTTCCAAAAATACACTTTTAAATTACTTTGCGTTATTAACAATAAAAAATAATTTCCCCTCTCTTCATTTTTTTTTCAGGACAATGCCAGCGCATTGTATGTTGCAACCCAAAATGGACACACACCTTTGGTCAGATTTCTTATCAGTAATAATATTGATCTGGATGCTCAGTCTCAGGTGACACTTTGTTACTGTTGTTTTCTCATGTTATGTCTCTGACATTTCTTGACATTCTCTGAAAGTGGCGATAGCTACAACTGTGCATAATTCAGGACATAAAAGGAGAACTGCAGTCTGTATAAAGCAGTGTTGTCCAAACTTGGCCACTTTAAGATGAGTGGACTGCAATTCCCAGAATTCCCCAGCCAGCCATGCTGGCTGGGGAATTCTGGGAGTTGCAGTCCACTCATCTTAAAGTGGCCAAGTTTGGACAACACTGGTATAAAGCAATTAAGCATTTTGTATTCTGTCAGTTTTGGAGGGTGAATGTTAGAATATGCCCAACTCTGAAATAAATGTAAGTAAAAGTGTTTAACTGGTAAAATTATGCATTCACGTTTTCAGATGTATGCAGCTCATACATTTGCTAGCGATGTAAGAGATTCCTTTGCAAATAAATTTGGGTGATTTGCTTGCATCTGACATTGCAGTGGAACAAACACTAGCATCAAAGCGCTCATCTTCCTCATTCAAAAATCTCGAATTTAACTGAAAAAAGATACGCGATGAAAGTTTTGTGCAAATAGCAGTAGCTGTTACCGAAAAAAGATTGAATGAAATTACAGTTAAAAAACCTGCATATGAAAAATTGACAGGGTGAAATTTAGTAGAATTTCTTAATTAAAAAGAAAAAAAGGTGGTAAACGGTATGTGCCAATGTGTTCATGTGACAAGATATAGCATATGCAAATAATTAAGTTTTCTACAATTTAACAAAATTGCAAAAAAAAAAGTCAGTATTCCGCAATACTGCTCTTTTAACAGGAACATTAAAGAGGACAGGACTTTTAGCAATCTGCACATTGTTATTTTATTTCAGAAGTAACTCACTCTAAGTTATTTAGGACTGTAGCCAAATAGTCTATACCAGGGGTGTCTGCAAGGAGGGATCAAAAAAGTCAACATGGCGGCCACAGTCACATGATGAAAGCCGTGTTCTTTTATGAGTGTTGTGACGGATGTAAAAAACAGTGGTACTTCAATTGCATGCAGGTAATCCTTGACTTACAACCATTCATTCAGCAACTGTTCGAAGTTAAAGCAGCACTGAAGGAACCAACTTACGACCAGTCCCTGAAGTTATGACCCTTGGAGTGCCCCCACGGTCACGGGATCAAAATTCAGGCACTTGGCAGCCCACCTGCACTTACAACTGTAGGGGCACTTCAACTCCACCCACCCGCCTATCTCCCCCCATCTATGTCACCCATCTATGCCCTTTTGGCTCCCTGCCACCCTGTGTTCCGCTGCCTCAGCTGACCTTCGCCATCTTCTTGCTCCCACTGCTGACCAAGCATGCCTGGCTGCTGGCCGCATGAGGCTTTCTTCCACAGGTCACGAACAGCAGTTTCCTCATGAGACCTGGGGAAGATGGCCTCATGTGGCCAGCAGCTGCCTTGCGAAGGGCCAGGGCGGGGACACCTCGTCAGCAGCAGGAGCAGAAAGATGGCAAAAGTCAGCTGGGGCGGCAGAATGCAAGGCTGCAGGGGCCTCGGAGTACAGGGTGGCAAGGGAGACTGCGGCTGGGCCCGGGCTGGGCTGGGCTGGGCTGGGGTAGGGTGGTTGCAGCTTTGTGCCACGCTGCTGGGCTGGACTTGGAATTGGGTTTGTGCTGCTGCCCTGGGGGCGCCTCTTGTTATCCCACAGCTGCGGGGGAGGGAGGCCCGCCCCCGCCCCACCC